TATATATATATATATATATATATATATATATATAATTTTTCGTTATCGTTGTTTGCTACGTAATAACAGTTTTTTGGTTAGAAGGGCTGAAAAGGAAGAAAGGACTACTGCATTTCTGGTGGCGAAAGAGAAGTAATCGTCTGTTGGTATTTGAAGCCTTAGTGCTTGACAGTTGATACCCGGGGCAGCTTTTTACTTGTTTTACATACCATACTTTTTATCGTTTTTGACAAGGGAGTTGTTAGCATTTAAAAAGAGCAAAAAAAAATTTTTTATTTTGTCGCTCGTGGACTGTGCTTCAAACATTGTCATTTAGTTCTGACTGTAAAAAGGACTAAAATTCAATTTTTTTTAATTTGTGTAGGTACCTAACTGTTAAAATTTTAAGTTAATGGTGCTGGAAAGTGAGAGCTTTCAAGTGCCATCGCTATTTTTGTTATACATGTATCGGTTTTAATTTTTTTTACAAATAATTTGACGGGGTAATCGATTCACGGTATTGTTATGTGTAAAGTCTGGAAAAAAGGAAAAAATTTTTGCTTTGACTTTTGGCGTTCATTTTCCGATTTGCTCGGTCGCCTCCCATCTGAAAACGGTTGTCATAACTGTTCGTTGATCTCTAAAGTCTGCCTTGTGAAAGGAAAAAAAAGATTTAACGGATGCAACGGTAGCTAAAAATGGCCAATTTGCAGCTGTTTTTTCTTTCCGCTTCTGCATTTTTTTTTGCTCGCCGGATAGTTAAAAAATGGTGAGATTGATGGGAAGGCAACCAATTTTTCAAGTTACCTGTTTTGTAATGATCGTTTTTATCGTGTTGGTCAGTTGCTTCTCGACGTCCGTTTTGAATGCTTAGAAATTTGTTTTATTATTTGTTTTCTAACTGAGAATTACCTTTAGCTCTTATCAGCTTTTAAACACAGAGAAATCACTTTGCTGAGATTGGTTTGATTTCCTAAGTTCATATAGAAGAAGGAAAAAAAAATTTTTTTAGGTTTTTTTAAATATTTATTTTTTGAACACATTTTGCTCGCTATACATTCGTGGTCCTAATTTATGGCTTTATTTTCCAGAGGAGAGTTATTTCCAGGATAACTTACTCTTCTGAGCGGGTTTTTGTCGCACCGTTTTTGTTAGACGGGGCTATGCGATACGCTGATACCGTTAAGGAGGGTTTTTTGGCTTATGGATTGAACCTTTTCAGAGGTCTGTTGTTTAATTCATTTTGTTCTTCTATTATCGGCCTTTTATACGTTGTCTTCTCGCTAATAGATATCGTAGAACTACGCTGAAGAAACACTATTCCTGAAATTGTTTAAATTAGAATTGTTTACTTCTTTTAGCTCACTCTTTCCTTTCATAGTGAAAGTGCTGCATCTTCTCCACCGACCGATTGGAAATGATTCTTTCAGAATAATTTTTGATTCTTTATCTTAGTGTTTTATTATGATTGATTGGAATCTTCTGTGGTTGCAAGTTTGTTAGCAGCATAACACTGTAAAATTTTCTAAATACTAGTTGGTATTCAATGCGCAGTAATAATTTTTAGGGCTTGAATGACGATAGTTGAAAAAGTAAATGAAGAAACGCGGCTTTAAACACGTCTGAAAATTTCAAAAGTCAAGTGGCGTGCTATTTACAATGACGTCTGTTAACGAAGATGAACAGAAGAAGCATTTAGAAGCGCTTTTGCGCCAGGTGAGTCGGCTATTTCTTTGTTCTTTCTCTTGGTTTTATTAAACCTGTTTGAAATAGCGCATTATCGAGATTGCAACCTGCTAGTGACTCAGATTCCTGAACGTTTACCGTTAATTTTCAGATAACCATTATTGAGAGAAAGAATTTTGACAAGAAACAATATCTTATGGCATGTGATCAGTTTCGACGAATGGTCACTGCGGGAAGTAGCAGTTTTGGTGGTGTATGTTTTTGTCTACGTTTTTTCCACTTTTTTTTTTCATTATTTTTCTTGATTATTTTCATGATTTCTTTCTAATATTTTACAGTGAAATTTTTTTTTAAATTACTCTAAAAGATTCTAAAGTTTCATATGACAGGCTTTGATGCGGTCAACGCTTGTCGGGTTTAAGATGTGTAATTGCAAATTTGTTTCTTTCTTTGTGTTATTATGATCATTAGTTATTGTAATAGCGTTCAATGCATACTCAATACTTTTTAGAAATTTGACCTTGATTATCAGGACTTAATTAAGAAGCTTTTGGTGGTACTCCCAAACAAAAATGTAGCTGCCGATGTCAGGAAATGTGCCGCTGAATGTATAGGAACTGTCGGATTGGCGATGCATGAACGTTATAACGAGTGAGTTAAGTCCAAATTATCATCTTTTTTGTTGCTTCCTTATTTTTTAGTTTGTTTTGAGATGTCGGCTTCATATTTGCACTGGCAGTTTTATGAGTACCATCTGTGTTTCTCATTTGACAGGTTTTTGGAATATATCTTTTCGGCATTCAACAAGGCGTCACAAAAGTATTTTGAAGAAAAATCTATGATACTTCACTCTTTGTGTACTTCTCTTGAACTTATTGGTGCGCCTCCTGCGAAATCTCTTCCCAGCTTAAAGCCTGTTGAGGTAAATTGTTATACAAAAGCAATTTTCTTCATGGCATCAAAATGCTTTTTCTCATACCTGTAACCTTCCCTCCAGGATGTTATGAAGTTTGTCAAGAAAATTTTGGATTCAAATGACTCACATATTGTGTTGACTCCACTGCTGAACATCTGTTTAACAGTCGCGAAATATTTTCCAGCAGTTTTCAAAGACGATTTTTTGGTAAGTTTTATTTCTCGTATTCGTCTGACTTTTTTAAAACAAATCTCAAAGTGGTACTAGCCTTTTCATTTCCTGTTAGCTAATATCTTAAATAGGTTTTTTTATTTTGTAAACTAACTTGTCATACAGAAAGGTTTATCGTTTTTTTGTTTTTCAGGATGTTTTGGACTTCACTGTCGGTTGGTACACTGAACTTGACCAACCGGCAGAAGTTGGAGAAAAATGTAATCAAGTTTTGCTGGAACTAAGACCCTATTTTCACCAAGCAATCCCTTCTTCTGTCGAATTGATGACGCAGTTTGTTGACGATGCAAAAGTTTATATTGAGGTTAGGTTTTTGCACTGTTACGTTGATTGTTTTATTATTGCATTCTAAGGTTTTTTGCTTTAGGAGCTGCATCAGACGGACCAGAGGGACATCAAATGCGAAGTGTCGCTTCAGAAAACTGCACTCTTGTTGCGCTCTTTAGCCACAATTTTGAATGTATTTACTTCTCCTGATGTTTTACCATACTTGCTACCTTTTGCTAAAAAAGTGAGCGGCCGAGTAAACTACATTGGCTTTTTCATTAACGATAAGTGCTGGACATTCTTAACTCTGTTGTTTTTTAATGAGAGTTTTTGTTTTTCTTTTTTATTTGGTTAGGTGATTTTCTTCTCGAGCTACTTTTCAAGGGTGTAACTTGAAACTTCAGGTCTTTGGAGAAATGGATTCTATTGTGAAGTCAATTTCCAAAGTTTACCTTTCCGAAGTAGAGAATGTATATTTGGAATTAATTAAAGTTTATTGGTCCTTGCTGCAAATATCTGCTCAAGCTATAGAATTGTCATCTGCTGTTGAGGATATGGTTCTAATGTTGAGTCATCCAGTTTGTACACTCAAAATGTTAACGAAGTTATTAGATTTTTTTGAGCGGGTACGTTTTTTACGTCTCTGTGCATAATCTTTTGGTAAGAGAGTATTTACTTTATGAAACTTCCAGGTTGTTGACAGCTTACCACCTGATATGACTTCCCAAGTAATACCTCTGATGTTTTCAAATATAATTGAATCAAAATATAAGCGTTCAGTTATGGTTAGTCAATTTTTGTCAAAGCTTCTTACACCAAAAGCCCTACCAACTCTACAGGCTGTGTACAATTGTGCTAAAGAAAGGTTGTTGAGTAAGTTAAGACTTTGTACAACTTTTATTTAATTAGCTTTGGTTGATCTTATTGGTTACTTTCAACAGTACACTAATAATGTACTACAGAGTGTCTGAGCAACCTGAAGGAGCTTGAAGAAGGTTGCGGTAAAACAGAACTCAGAGTTGTTGAAGACGAAGCAATGTTTCTTTTGAATGCACTTTCTGGTCTTGCAGGAACTAAAAACTCATTGATTGGGGTAAGACTTGCCTTTCTTGAACAACCTTGACTGACTTTTTGGTGATCTGGCTTATGCCTAGATTTTTACACCCAACTTTTTGTTAAGCTTTTAAATTAATATTTAGTGAATTACTTAGGAAGTAGGCGGTGGAACTTTGTTTTGTGCTTTTGGTACTAGGTTTTTACTGCTGGTCGTATTTTTTTTATTTTTGTTTTATTAGTTTAAAGTATTGGTTTAGTTTGGGAGCATTTTTCCTACAATTTATAGTTTTCAGATGATGGGCTTATCTCCAAACCTTTTTACTTTATTGTCTGATAAAACACCGGTAGCAGAAAAGTGGTTTGTTGTCCGTTATCCGGCATGCCACTTGTCGCTTTTATATGTTTTGAAACTTCATTGTGAAAGTTAAGTTTCTAAGTTTTTTCAAGATGAATAGTTGTGGCGTTGGCGTCCTCTTGTATTGTCGCTAATTTTCAAGTTTAAGTTTCATACTGCTCTTGTATCTCTTGATGTGGGGCAAAGCGCATTTGTTGTTTCAGGCATGACAATTTTATTGCTAACAGTTGTTGGTTCAATGACAAAAAACATTCCTTAATTGTACCGGAAGGTCTGACGTCAAACCATTTCACTAGGATTGTAACGCTTCTTTCCGATCTATTCTCGCTTACATCGTATATGTGGTCTGATACGAGGTGCGTGGATAATTTTTGAGTAATAAGTTTTGATTGTCACGTTATTTGAATGATGATTAATGTTATTATGCTACACTTTTTAGAGAGACCTTGCTGGATTGGGTTCGCGGAGTTGCTTTTGGTATATCACATGAAATGCTGCAACAAATTTTAAATTTTCCTGCGATGTTAAATCTCAGAAGGTCTTTACTGAATTCATTCTTGTATCACTCTAAGAATAGGAAGGGGTCGTTAGAGTCGCCTAAAAGGTTGTTTGGTGTTCCAGGTATGCTTAACATGACCACATTTCCTACCAATTTTTATGTAGCAACAGACGTTGCGTATTATAAACGCGTCTGCTTTTATGGCACGTTTAAAAAAAACATCCTTTTTTAAATGAATAATGCAAGCAGTTTTTATTTCTAGCCACTCGTGTTCGGCAATACACCCTTCTGAGGAGGCTTGCAGTTTTTGATTTGGTTCAAGATGATATTGCTAACGGAGATTATGACTTTATGTGCGACGTCTGTAGAGCTGTCAGAACGTGTAGTCGTGAAATGGCGATCAGTTTATGGCAAACAATTCCGCCCCCCTTTTTTATTGAGTCAGTTATAAAATGACTAAATTAGCTTGAATTTATTTAAGAAACTAAAGGGCTTTCTACTATTCATAGAATTTGGTCAATTTTAGGTGTGGCTTATCAGAAACTTTTAAAGAAGAGCTTGAGTTTTCACAAGCAAAAATCACGAGTACTTCATTCACATCTGATCATTTCAAGCTTATCACAGATTTCTTGTTGAAATCTATTGTTCCTACCTATCTGCTTAACGAGTTCGTTTCTCTTTAAGTATTTTCTGGATCATGCTAGATTACTAATATGCTTATCTTTCTAACTTATTTTACCTTATGGAATTTTTTCAAAATAAATAGAGAGTTTATGTTCATATAAAAGTAAAACTGGACTTTTATGGGTCTTTTCAGCGCGTACGATGAGAAGTGGATTGAAGACATACCTACAGTTATATATTCCTTTGCAACGAATGATTATAGCATATCTATAGATCATATTGAGAAGTGGCGATGGGCTCTTGCACAAACGGCTCAGTATTGCATTGATAATCGTATGAAAACGTTACTGGGGAAACCTCTCGAAACATTTCTTTGCTTTGAAAGTAATTTGACAAGAAATATTCGGCTTTGATACGGCGCTGTCGTTTGTGACTTCCAGTCACTTTCTTTTTAGAAGAAATGCGTCGCTTGGCTGTTTCGGCTTTATCGCAGAAGTTGGGTGCGGGTAGTGAACCGTCCTTGAAAGAGTCGAAATTTGACAACGATGATAACGTTGTTTCAAAAACAATAGTCATAAATAGAAGTCGGAAACCAACTGGGGATGAAGATGACGAGGAAGGCAGTAATACAGAAGAACAAAGGCAGTTAAGTGATGCAGAGAATTGGTGGAGGGTCAGAGCATTTTTGGAAACAATGGAGCTTCTTGATAAGCTTATCACTTATGCTGGTGACGGGACAGTGTTTCAGCTAACGAATATTTCTCAGGTTGTTTTTCTAGTGCCTTATCTAAACAACTGATTTTTTTTCTTTGATGTACTTGGTTTTCCTTTGCCTTCTCACCCTTTT